AAAACTAGCCGAGAGCACCATTTGTTGTTAAAAACTAGCCTGGAGCGCAATCTACTCTTAAAAATGAGCATAAAGTGACATCTGGTCTTAAAAATGAGCCTCTAGACCAGTGGTCACCAAAGTTGTTCCTGGAGGGCCGGTGTCCTGCAGATTTTCGCTCCAACCCTAATCAAAACACACCCGAACAAGCTAATCAAGGTCTTACTAGGTATACTTGAAACACCCGGGAAGGTGTGTTGAGGCAAGTTAGAGCTAAACCCTGCAGGGACACCGGCCCTCCAGGACCGAGATTGGTGACCCCTGCTCTAGACCGTCATTTGTTGTTAAAACTAGCCTGGAGCACTATCTACTCTTGAAAATGAGCATAGAGTGACATCTGCACTTAAAAATTAGATTCTAGGGCGCCATCTGCTGTTAAAAACTAGCCTAGAGGGCCATTTGTTGTTAATAACTAGCCTAGAGCACCATCTGCTCTTAAAAATGAGCATAGAGTGACATCTGCACCTAAAAATGAGATTCTAGGGCGCCATCTGCTGTTAAAAACTAGCCTAGAGGGCCATTTGTTGTTAATAACTAGCCTAGAGCACCATCTGCTCTTAAAAATGAGCATAGAGTGACATCTGCACTTAAAAATGAGATTCTAGAGCGCCATCTGCTGTTAAAAACTAGCCTAGAGGGCCATTTGTTGTTAATAACTAGCCTAGAGCACCATCTGCTCTTAAAAATGAGCATAGAGTGACTTCTGCTCTTAAAAATGAGCCTCTAGAGCGCCATCTGCTGTTAAAAACTAGCCTAGAGGACCATTTGTTGTTAATTACTAGCCTAGAGCACCATCTGCTCTTAAAAATGTGCATAGAGTGACTTCTGCTCTTAAAATGAGCCCCTAGAGCGCCATCTGCTGTTAAAAACTAGCCTAGAGGGCCATTTGTTGTTATTAACTAGCCTAGAGCACCATCTGCTCTTAAAATTGAGCATAGAGTGACTTCTGCTCTTAAAAATGAGTCTCTAGAGCGCCATCTGCTGTTAAAAACGAACCTAGAGCACCATCTGCTGGTAAAAACTGCCACAGAGCACTGTTAAAAACCTGCCTAGAGCTCTGTTTGCTATTAATAACTACCTTAGAGCACCATCTGCTGTTAAAAACTACCATAGATCGCTATAAAAAACTAGCCTAAAGCTCCATCTGCTGTTACAAAACAGCTTAGAGCGCCATCTGCTCTTAAAATCTAGCCTAGTTATATTTGCTGTTAATAACTACTCAAGAGAGCCATCTGCTGTTAAAAACTACCATAGATCACTATTAAAAACTAGCCTTAAGCTCCAGTTGCTATTAAAAACCAGCCTAGAGCGCCATCTGCTGTAAAATTTAGCCACTAGAGCGCCATCAGCTGTTAAAACATAACCTAAAGCTAGAATTATAGCTCAAATAATGGGTCAGTGGTTACCAACATTATTCAAAACTCATCAGAAGAAATATAAGAGGCTTTTAATAACCTGAGAGTGAGTAAATGTTCATTTTGTGGTGAACTGTGCCTTTATAAGCAACAGCAGTTTGCACCAATCCCTCAGGCTGAATCCATGTGCACCTATAATCCGACTTTAAAAAACAAATTCACAATGTAGTTGCAGTGGTGCCGTTTTGAAACCTATGATAGCTTGAAGCATTGCTTTATACATGTGTGGTGAGTTCTGTGACCTGGGATTATTAATATATAATGATAATATATGTTGCAAGGATCAAGGAGAATGTGTGCAGTTTTGGGAACTTGAGGGCCTGGTTCAGATTGTCTGTTTTGCTAAATATTTTGGCTTCTTTCCGCTCCACCCGTCATGAATATTCCAAACTAATAATATGGGATTTGTGTTCAAAATCTTCATTGGTTGTAGAATTATTGAACAAGTTTAATGGGCTCTGGGTCTAAATAGAGTGACTATATGTTTATTTTCCCCATAAGTAGGAACATGAGAATATAACGCTGCTGTAATGGTGGAGAGTGAATACTGGTTTGGTTTGTTTTCCTCCTTATTTGACCCACTCTGCTTTTCTCGGGATGTCAAACTAGTGTTTCTCACCAGCTCTCCTGCAGTGGAGGATGAAATCATGACACCACGGTCTTAACATATTTTTGTCATATTTTATTTTCAGATTTTGACCAATAAACCATGATCATGGTTTGCGTTTGGGATGGCCTGCTTTTATTTTGTAGTTAACTTTAAAGATTAAAAATGCATTTAAAGTCAAATTCTTGTAGAAGAATTTTAATCTGCACATGAAATATCTAGTGTTGTTTATTATTTAGGAGACACCTGTCCAACTGCTCATTAACATATATTCCTCATCAGCCAATCACATGGCAGCAACTCAAAGCATTTAGGCATGTAGACATGGTCAAGATGATCTGCTGCAGTTCAAACCAGCATCAGAATGAGGGAGAAAAGTGAGTTAAGTAACTTTGAACGTAGCATGGTTGGTGGTGAAAGACGGGCTGAGCTGAGTATTTCAGAAACTGCTGATCTACTGGGATTTTCATGCACAACTATCTCTAGGGTTTACAGAGAATGGTCTGAAAAAAAATATCCAGTGAGTGGCGGTTCTGTGGGCGCAAATTCCTTGTTAATGCCAGGGGTCAGAGGAGAATGGCCAGACTGGTTCCAGCTGATAGAAAGGCATCAGTAACTCAAATGAGCACTCGTTACAACCGAGGTCTGCAGAAGAGCATCTCTGAACACACAACACGTCCAACCTTGAGGCGGATGGGCTACAGCAGCAGAAGACAACACCGGGTGCCACTCGTGTCAGCTGAGAACAGGAAACTGAGGATACAATTCACACAGGCTCACCAAAACTGGACAATAGAAGATTGTAAAAACATTGCCTGGTCTGATGAGTCTCCATTTCTGCTGTGACATTTTAGACGGTAGGGTCAGAATTTGGCGTCAACAACATGAAAGCATGGATCAACCTTTTTTTTTTTTTTTTGGACTATTGTTAAATTTTTAACTTTAGGCTACATAGATTGCTGTGGTCTCAGGTTCACTCAGCCTAGCACATCATCAGTTGCGTCAGACGGCGCAGCTCTGTTACGTCATCATTGACCACGTGCTCTTATTTTGAAACTGAAAACTACACCGAAGCTCTGAATGCTTGAAATTATTTAACACTGTCGAGATAATTTAAATAGATTCGAGAAACGTATAGTACTAACTAAAATGTCTATTCTAAATGTAACGTTAGCCTAAAAAGTAATACGAATTTTATCTCGGATGAACTGTCCATAAAGCAGATGCGTTATATCTAACGTTATATTTACATTAACATAACAGTGTGAACTACAGACAAAAGCAAACCATTAAACAAGCAGCAAATCTCGATCACCAAACCTGCTCTAATCATCTCGGGTTTGAACCGATCATATAAGGAAAACTGACAGGATCACAGAGAAGCTTTGCGTGCCATTTTAATGGTCTGCTTGTTGATCGCGATGTGTGAAGTAAACTACAAATCCTGGTTTCCGTTTCCGAAATCTAAAGTAAAGGTCCTCTGCAATTATTTAAGACCGTGTTACAGATGACGATTAAATTGATGAAAGCATAACCAGAGTGTGAATTATCTCTCACAGCCACACATGACCTCCCATAGGGAGAGTAGGGGGAGTACTCTGAAAATACTCTGATCAGTATTTTAAATAACAATGTTTATATTGAAAATAATAGATAATATAAACATACATTTGACTACCCCTATACCGGTTCAAACAATTGTTAATGCATAATTGCGCCAATCCAGAAATCAATTCTAGAAAAAAAGTCTAAAAGTGGCAGATCTAGAGCACCAATAGACATCGTCTTTACAAGACTTTGTTTTCTCATAAAAGGTGTTCATATCTAGAATTAGCTTGAAAATAAAAATCTAATTTGACCGTTTGTAGTTTAACCTACAGTAACATCTGAAATAGCTAATCAGAGAATACTGAAAATATCAGAGAATACATTAAATATCCATCAAAATGCTGAAAACTTATATACTTATTAATAAACTACATGTAATTAAAAAGAAACACATAATGAAAGAAGCATGTATTACACAAACTGAAAAGTTGACCCCCCCTGACCTTCAATGTATAATTTGCTCACTGTACATACCTCTATTGGAGATGAATTAATCCTAAATAACTTTACTTCTTAATGAAGTTTGTTCATCGCCACTGGCCTGCTTGGTTTGAGACATGTGGAGCTGCGCATCGATGGATTTGCTCTTCAGTGTTTGGACTTTTGGACAGCGCTTTTGGACTTTCAACCACACTGACCTGAACTAAACACTGAAAACTGAACTGACACAGTTTCCATTTAATAGAACTTCTATGTTAAACTGCTTTGGCACAATCTGCTATAAAAAAAAAAAAGATGAATTGAATTGATGTTTAAAACGGTATAACTCTTATTAAATCTGTTTTATTATATCTGGTTTAATTGTTGAAGAATATTTCACACTTGTATGAATAGTTTCATTACATCATTGGTTGTTTAGCAGAGGTTTACCCAGTGAAGTCTAAACATTAGAATGATCACACATTTGAAGAAAAAAACAGTGCAAAAAGGGCAGCACGCTGGCGCAGAGGGTAGCACAATCGCCTCACATCAAGAAGGTCGCTGGTTTAAGCCTCGGCTGGGACAGTTGGCGTTTCTGTGTGGAGTTTGCACGTTCTCCCAGTGTTTGTGTGGGTTTCTTCCAGGTGCTCCGGTTTCCCCCACAGTCCAAAGACATGCGCTATAGGTGAATTGGGTAAGCTAAACTGTCCATACTGTATGAGTGTAAATGAGTATGTGGGTGTTTCCCAGTGATGGGTTGCAGCTAGAAGGGCATTCGCTGCGTAAAACATATGCTGGAAAAGTTGGCGGTTCATTCTGCTGTGGCAACCCGAGATTAATAAAGGGAGTAAGCCGAAAAGAAAATGAATGAATGACAGTACAAAAAATACAGCAATATATCTGCATTAAAAGTCTAGTAATTGTTTTATTTACGAGGAAAAATTAATTATTTAAAGAAAATAGATATTGCTATAGTAGCACTTCTCATATTATTAATCATTTTAAAACAGTAAAGGTTGTGCTTTACAATTTAATCAAACTCAAGGCGACAGCAACAATGAACAACTAAGATTTATAGCCATTTAAAAAGACTGTATTGTAATTATTGTAAAATAAAAGTCCATCCAAGGGATGTGTTGCTGAGGAACATCCTCATGCGAATATGAGTTGATTGGAAAGTGCAAATTTCAGTGCAAAAAAAAGTAAGAACTCTCTCTGTCTTTTATCACTCTTTCTTGCTTTTCCTCTTTGATCTAAAGCAGCAGCGCATGATGAAGAATTTGGCCATTTTAAAGCAGATGTAGAGGACTAGAGTCAGGACAGTGGTAAGAAAAGCGAACACATCCAGACAGTGGTACTGATACCAGGTCAGGTTGTGGGCCTCCACACGCAGGTGTTTTGCACCTTTATTGCGCATGACGAACTCAATCCAGAACACAGACTCATCTAAAGGCTTCATTGGTCTGTCGTGATGAATCCTGGACAAACGCATTGCATTCTCTTTATACCTGTGGAGAAACAGAGCATCTTAGTCCAGAGATCTGCAGTGTTATGCACTGATAACAGAGTAAATCAGATCATATGAGTGACTTACGAAGGGTCATTAATGACTGTATTGAGTTTGTCCACCAGTTCTTGTGGCTGCATGCTCTTAATGCTGTCTACTACAACAGCAGCACCTCTGGTGGTCATATGAACCATATTATCAGGCTGGTCACCAAACAAGGGGATGCCGACCATCGGGACACCATGATATATGGCCTCATATACGCCATTGGTGCCCCCGTGAGTGATGAACGCTCTGGTTTTGGGGTGGCCTATATCAGGAGACAATTTTAATACAAGATTAATGCAAAAGAAAACAATAAATTCACTGCAAGACTTACTGTATGCCATTACAACACATGCAAAGACAAGATTAGTGTGTTAGGCCCTGTCCACATGAACAGGGATATTTTCAAAACCACACTTTTTTTTTTTCTACACAGTTTCAAGACTGGTTTATACTACTGCGTCAAGTGATCGGCATGACCCACGGCGCATGTCTTCCTCATAGTTGTGCATTTCTACTTCTGTTTGCTGTTTGTGTTGTCTGCAATAACACTTCTGGTACCCTAGTTGGCTGTAGGCTTTGATGTTCCCCTGTGTCGAGTTTCTTCGTGGGTGTTTTGTTTTTTCTGAACGCTGCCTTAATGTACAAGTAGCTAAAACTCGCTCATTCAGAGGAGTGAACTGGCAGACGTGCAACAACTTTAATAATAAGGTAAACACAAAACAACAGTTCCCATGTAGAGCTTCTTCACGGGACTTGTAAACACTAACTCCATCGGGGTTGCAGCCCGGTGAATAGTACAGACCAGACATGTCCTTTTTTCTCCTGGATAAAAAGTGCCCTTCAGTTCGCCCTTCAAACATATATCAATGTTGCACTCCTAAGAAATATATGTGCTGTTAATAAAAGAAATACATCTTATAGCTTTTTAATGGGGGTGGCACAGTGACAGTGGGTAGCACTGTCGCCTCACAGCAAAAAGGTCGCTGGTTAGAGCCTTGGTTGGGTCAGTTGGTATTTCTGTGTGGAGTTTGCATGTTCTCCCCGCATTCGCGTAAGTTTTCTCCAGGTGCTCCGCTTTCCCCCAAAGTCCAAAGACATGCGCTATAGGTGAATTAGGTAAGCTGAATTGTCTGTAGTGTATGTGTGTGAATGAGTGTGTATGGGTGTTTTCCAGTGCTGGACTGCAGCTGGAAGGGCATCCGCTACATAAAACATATGCTGGATAAGTTGGCAGTTCATTCCCCTGTGGCGACCCCTGATTAATAAAGGTACTAAGCCAAAAAGAGACTGAATGAATTAACTTTTTGATGCATATTCCTCCTCCATTTACAAATATCATGATATATTGTGGATGGTTTTCGTGTGATATGTCGCTGATATGATCTATACAAAAATGACAAAATATGATACTATCGTTTTGTACTAAATATCGGACTACATATTTCGGTTTTATTTTTGCTCTTCTTATTTATTTATTCTTGCAGTTTCTTTGATTCACTCTTCTACAAGATTATTCCAGTCAATGTTAATGATTTTATCCCAAATAGAGCTATTCAAGTCATCTGCCGAAATTGTATTCATATCGCAATATAAGGCAACATGGTGGCGCAGTAGGTAGTGCTGTCGCCTCACAGCAAGAAGGTCGCTGGTTCGAGTCTCGGCTGGGTCAGTTGGCGTTTCTGTGTGGAGGATGCATGTTCTCCCCGCGTTTGAGTGGGTTTCCTTCGTGAATTGGGTAGGCTAAATTGTCCATAGTGTATGAGTGTGTGTGGATGTTTCCCAGAGATGGGTTGCAGCTGAAAGGGCATCCGCTCTCTAAAACTCTCTCTCATTATGTGCTGAATAAGTTGCCGGTTCATTCCGCTGGGTGATCCCGGATTAATAAAGGGACTTAGCCGAAAAGAAAATGAACGAATGAATGATTGCAATGAAAACCGCAGCAAAATAAAATAATCGCAATATCAGACTTTTCCAATATCATGCGGCACCACCATTTACGGCTGGACATGGCCTTAATCTTTAAAGTCTACGTGAACCGGAGGTTGCTGATACTTTTATTTCAATATGCTAATCTACTTCCGACTATTGCAACTCTCTACTAGCCGGGCTCCCAGCTAACTCTATCAAACCTCTTCAGCAGCTTCAGAACGCAGCAGCACGAGTGATCTTTAATGAACCTAAAAGAGCACATGTCACTCCGCTGCTCATCCGTTTGCACTGGCTGCCAGTTGCTGCTTGCATCAAATTCAAGGCTCTGATGTTTGCTTACAAAGCGACTTCTGGCTGCGCCCCTTCTTATCTGCTCTCACTTCTGCAGATCTATGTGCCCTCCAGAAACTTGCGTTCTGTGAATGAACGTCGCCTTGTGGTTCCATCCAAAAGAGGGAAGAAATCACTTTCCCGAACTCTCGCGTTCAATCTGCCCAGTTGGTGGAATGAACTCCCTAACTGCATCAGAACGGCAGAGTCACTTGCTGTTTTCAAGAAACGACTAAAAACTCAACTATTTAGTCTCCACTTCACTTCCTAATCTGCAATTTCCTCTCTGGCTCCACCACTAACTGCATTACAAAAAAACTAATAAATAAAATAAAAAAGTTACTAATGTTTTGCTTCTTAGACTTTACACACCTGAAACTTGCCTGTAGCACTTATTCATTGTTGCTCTTTTAGTTGTGTAAATTGCTTCCTTGTCCTCATTTGTAAGTCGCTTTGGATAAAAGCGTCTGCTAAATGACTAAATGTAAATGTAACTGAAACAGAATATTGAGTAGGGGGCGGGGCTTTCTTTTAGGGTATCATTTCCTAGTGGCAAACTAATGGTAAGAGGGGCGTGGTTAACAATATTGTGACTGAAGCATCAAACTGTCATCATTAAAGAAGGACCGCCACTCCAAACGCTGAAGTACTGTATATGGTCAGAGTTTGATTTAAAAAAATTCAGTGGATTAACTTACACGAATTAAATGTTTACCAAAATATTAGCAATGCGTTCTAGCAAAATTTTAATTTGCAGACAGACTTTAATAAATAAAAGCATATAATAATAATATTATACAGTCACAAATGATAATACAAACCCAGTAAATCATTCTGAGGGATCCACTTATAGATTCTAGTGTTTTCACCAAGAGTATCTGGTTTCTCTCCACCGTATCGCCACAAGACCTGTAACACAGTTACACAAACACACTCTCAACTGATCAGTGTTTCATGAGATTGTACCTTTATGAACCTCATTTCAACTTAGGTGACTTGCTAACCACATCAAGAGGAAATGCATATTAGTTCATGGTCATGTTACCTTCTGTGGTATCTGTGCCAGTGCGGAGGCGATTCTGTTGCTGATCTCTTTGGGTACTTTGCCTACCAAGGAGCCCAGTGTGAAGACCACAATCCCATCTTCCCCTGAGCTCTGCACAAACTCCTCCATGTCCTGCACATAAAAATAACACAGTGAACTTTTGTGAAAAGGGCCTGTACATACGTTTATGCAATATTCTGCAGCCCTCTTGAATCAGACCAGAGACCCTTTTCAAACAAAAATCACAAGAAATTATGCTGATCGGAATGAACTGGCCCAATCCGATTAGTCTTTTTTTTTTTTAAATAATTCTTCATCCTAAAAAAATCCTGATATTACTTGTAATATCACATTCTACACAATGTTATGTATACTGTCAATAAAAATATTTATCAAAAAATAAATAAAAATAATTCTTCATCTGACCGATTTCACGTGGCTGCCATTTTTAAAAGCAAAAATCGAGGCTGCGGTGGGAAGAAACCTCGAAGTATGGTCGGGAGTTACATAGGAACGTTGTGTAGCTGGCTGTATATCTTATCAGCGAAGAGAAAGTGGCACAAATTTATCATTTCACCGTCTTCCCAGTGACCCGAGGGTTCGTTCTGAATGAATGGTGAATATAAAAAGGGATATCAGAGCTCATTTTCAGCTAAATTAAAGGAAATGACACTAGCTAGCTAACGTTTTCTTTCCCAAACACATGTTTTAGATGCCATTTATCAAACTCAAGTTAATGAACTGATACTATCACTATATTACACTTGTCACGATACTGAATTAAAAGAAAAACCGTCCATTTCCCACAAACATTTAAGGCACTGTTGATGGCTTTCTTAAAACAGTGCTGATTTGCCATTGTGTTCACCAGTGCTCAACAGAAATGCTTGTGATTGGCCGAGAGGGTCAGCAGTTCACCCTCCACTGTGTACCGAGCACAAGCACAGACAGACGAGCGATCTGTCTGAAATAAGCGTATAGAGAAACAGAATATTAAATGACAAAACAGTGGGCGTGGTTTGTTTTTTTTCTACTGTGAGCTGATTGGATGTAGTAAAGTAGACATTTTTTATTCAGAAAGATGGGGGAAAGGGTTTGGGGAGAGTTATTACAACCGAACAGACACCTCCTCCTCACCATTTCTGTTTGCTGTCAAAACTGACAGTTAGAGGGGCGTGGTTAAGTATGTTAGCCACGCCCAATACCTCAGACAGACCTAATCTAAGAATTTAATTGAAAACAAACAGGAAGTGCATTTTCAGATTTCAATTAAACATTACAAGGGCAAACTATTTTTTTTTCTTAACAACATGCACAGATGAATTGTTCACCACAAAACTGGCAATGTGAGCTAACAAAATCAATCAGTTTTGATTTCATGGAGACTTTAAAGGAACAATATATTTCATTGTAGAAAGTTCAAGCATTTAGATCTGCAGACCACTTATACAAAACATGCTCAATTAAAATAATTAGGAAACAATTAATATGTATATTATTACAATTATTAATGCTACAGTGAAAAAAATATAATTTTTCTTGGGCATGTGAATTTCTTTTTTAATTTAGAGGGTTAGTTCACCCAAAAATGAAAATTTTAGAAAAGCACACTCCTGTCCAGCTGATGGCGCTAATGTAAAAGAAGGAGAGGAAGGTGACAGATGACAGTCACTGATAGTTACTCAAAGCGATTCACAAATTTTTAAAGATGGATATTTTTTTTCTTCAAATGTATGGATTCACTACAGGAGGCATACACTCACCGGCCACTTTATTAGGTACACCTTACTAGTATCAGGTTGGACCCGCTTTTGCCTTCAGAACTGCCTTAATCCTTCGTGGCATAGATTCAACAAGGTACTGGAAATAGTCCTCAGAGATTTTGCTCCATATTGACATGATTGCATCATGCAGTTGCTGCAGATTTGTGGGCTGCACATCCATGATGCGAATCTCCCGTTCCACCACATCCCAAAGGTGCTCTACTGGATTGAGATCTGGCGACTCTGGAGGCCATTTGAGTGCAGTGAAGTCATTGTCATGTTCAAGAAATCAGTCTAAGATGAGTCACGCTTTATGACATGGCGGGTTATCCTGCTGGAAGTAGCCATCAGAAGATGAGTATACTGTGGTCATAAAGGGATGGACATGGTCAGCAACAATACTCAGGTAGGCTGTGGCATTGACGATGCTCAATTGGTACTAATGTGCCCAAAGTGTGCCAAGAAAATATCCCCCACACCATTACACCACCACCAGCAGCCTGAACTGTTGATACAAGGCAGGATGGGTCCATGCTTTCATGTTGTTGATGCCAAATTCTGACCCGACCATCCGAATGTCACAGTAGAATTCAAGACTCATCAGACCAGGCAACATTTTTCCAATCTTCTATTGTCCAGTTTTGGTGAGCCTGTGTGAATTGTTGCCTCAGTTTCCTGTTCTTAGCTGACAGAAGTGACACCCGGTGTTGTCTTCTGCTACTATAGCCCATCTGCCTCAAGTTTGGACGTGTTGTGTGTTCAGAGAAGCTCTTCTGCAGACATCGATTGTAGCGAGTGCTTATTTGAGTTACTGTTGCCTTTCTATCAGCTGGAACCAGTCTGGCCATTCTCCTCTAACCTCTGGCATCAACAAGGCATTTGCGCCCACAGAACCGCCACTCACTGGTTAATTTTTCTTTTTCAGACCATTCTCTGTAAACCCTAGAGATGGTTGTGAGTGAAAATCCCAGTAGATCAGCAGTTTCTGAAATGACCAGCCTATCTGGCACCAACAACCATGCCACATTCAAAGTCACTTAAATCCCCTTTCTTCCCCATTCTGATGCTCGGTGTGAACTGCAGCAGATCATCTTGACCATGTTTACATGCCTAAATGCATTGAGTTGCTGCCATGTGATTGGCTGATTAGAAATGTGCATTAACGAGCAGTTAGACAGGTGTACCTAATAAAGTGGCCGGTGAGTGTATATTGTATAGTATCACAAAATATTAGAGAAGATACTGTGTGCTAAACCTTTCACTTTGTGGGAATCCAGCAGTTGACTCTGACTGGTCAGGGAGCAAAAATCAGGCGTTTGTTGAGATCATTGGACTGGGAATCTTTTTGGACCTGGCAACTCTTCTTGGGGATGAATCATGGGATAATTAAAATATTTAGGTGAACTAAGCCTTTAACAGAATATAATGTAAGAACACAGACTCACCTTGGGTAATGGCTTGGCAGGAGTGCAGTGAAGCCCTCCGATATATTTGAAGTTGGGCACGAATGGCCGCGGAAACTCAAAATCCCAGTAGGTTCTGATTAACCAGATATCGGCTCTACCCATCATCTCACAATAGGAAGTGGGCCGTCCTGGGAGGAGGATGAACATATGCATTTACTTCATTTAAAATATGTGTAAAATGTTAAGTTTGCTAGTGCACATTGTTAATCTTTTGGTAAACAATTTATCTGTGCATGTTAATAAACTTAAAAAATGAGTTTGCTTTGGTAATCTGTTCATCCATTTAGGCCACAGGTGTCAAAGCCGGTTCCTGGAGGGCTGCAGCTCTGCACAGTTTAGTTCCAACCCTAATTAAACACACCTGACTAAACTAATTGAGTGCGTTAGGCGCGTTTGATACCTACAGTACAGATAGGTGTGTTGAAGCAGGGCTGGATCTAAACTCTGCAGGGCTGCGGCCCTCCAGGAACAGAGATCGACACCAGATTTAGGCAGAAGTGACAAACTACAACTCACATAGCAAAAATCCTCTGGCCCAGCTCTGGCCCACACAATCAGGTTTTGCTTGGCCCACATGCCGCAGTGAATTACGGTACATGACTGGACCAAATCTGGCTTCCAGACAAGGGCCAAACACGGACCATATCTGGGCCAAGTCTCAGCCAAGTTAATAACTCATAACTGGGCCTGAACTGGGCCAGATAGGTTGGTGTGTCACGATTGCAATGAAATTGATAAATCCATGGAGTGATGCGCTTTAGGCACACTCTGGGCACGCTTTTTCTCAAAGTGACCTGATTGGTAGAATTTTTTTTCTTTACTCAGAAATGATTTTAGTGTATTTTAAATGTGGGTCAAGACTGGCCAAACTCACATGGCCCACTTATCAAATTTTTAAATCTGGGCCAAATACTACGTTTTTCATCTGGCCCAAATCTTGTGTGCCGCCTTAAAAACGATGCCACCTCTGCCAAACCCGGGCCATGTTTGGCCCACATGCTGTATGCCAGTGCCGGATGAATGCCTGCTGTGCCAGCTTTTTGACAAATCTGGGCCAGAATTCTTTGCTACTAGGGAAGCTTTCCACGTTTATAATAGTTTTATCCTATAAACGCAAATTTAGTCACTGTTTTAGTGTGCACTAGCTTATAGATATGTTAAAAGCGAACAATACTGATACTACAGGGCTCAACAATAAGAACTGCCCGATGGCCCACAGCTTTTCTGTATGTAGCAAAAGTGACATACAGTAAAATAAATCTGCTCTTCCAGACTCCAGTGTGTCTTGTAAATTCAACACAGGCTATAATTGTAGATTTTATAGACTTAATGAAGCACCAAATATGTAATATTGTAATAAAATAGCCTGACACTGTAAAAAGGGATTAGATGACTTTTAAAAAAGTGAGGACAACTAGCATAATTTTCACAATAAATTCACCTTAACAGTTCTAAGTTACAATGGGTTTACATACGTTATTTTTGTAAAGTCAACTTGTTGTATTCAAGGCAATTGGTTTACTCCCTTTAAATAACTAACCACTTTTAACAGGTGAATAAATATGAGGAAAATAAATATTTTCACCAAAATATTCAGTGTAATAGTTGTCAATTTTTTTCCAGGCAAAAATAGCAAAAGCATCTTGGGAAAGGTAGAAGAGCATATTGTAGATCCGCTCAGTAAAGCTCATCTTGTCTGTGAGTTTACTCATGGCTCCAGGAACATATGATGGCGGAGCTGGTATCTGACCACACATGCGCTCTGCTGCATGAGCAAGGGAAAACCGGAAAGTGTAAACCAAGGGAACATTCAGCTCCTCAGCCACAATATCACTACACTGATAAATCGGATCAGAAAAAACAACATCAAACTTGTGTTTCCTCAATTTATCCAGCAACCCTGGAGACTTCAGGACGCCGTCACAGTATGAAATGGACATGTCCTGAAGTTTGGAGGTGAACTCGTAGACTTTTGATTGCATCTGGAAAAAGTTCAGCTGGTCCATTTCATACAGTGAAAAATACAGAAACTCCTCGATGAAGACTTTCATCTCCTGCTCATCCATGGACACGTTAAAGGGCTGGTAGGAGAAGCGATCCGATGCGTTGGCTTTCATGAAGAGAGAAGCATCGGGAACCAGCACCGTCACATCGTGTCCCCTGTCGATCAGCGTTTCCAACACAATCTTCATATTAATCCAGTGGCTGCCCTCAGTAAACCAAACCAAAACATTCCCACATTCTCCAGCGCTGAGGAGAGAGAGAAGAGAAAGAAAACACGCCAACGGTCTCATGTTTGCCAGCTAGATGGAGTGTGTGCGTGTGTGTGCGCGCGTGTGTGAGAGAGATATCAACAGTGTTCCGCCTTTAACCCTCACAGCACCTGTAGGCTACAGCAGAATATTAATTATTAACTAGTGTGAAGTCAATAAAGCATTCAAGTAAAAGATAGACACTGAAGAAAGGAAAGTCAAGTTCAGCTAAAGTTATTTAATTTTGTGATTAAAATACTTGAAGCACTTATGATCGTTCAATGTAGGATACGTTTGTTTATCTTATATGTTATTATTATTAAAGGAAACTATATTCTGCATATTAAAATGTCACGTTACGACCGTGTAGAGGCAATTAAATCTGCTTTTTTTTGTCCAAATATGGAATTGCGCGTCCATGAAAACAGCTTTCGCGGTTTTATCCAGGGTTGCCAGGTCCGTTGTTTTACCGCCGGATTGTGATACATTTAACCCTTGCAGCAGAGGCGTGTTTTTTCATCAACTACAATAATAATTGCGCTGAAATATTTTACTCTTCCCACAGTAGCTTATATTTTACAAAATAATAATAGCTGCTATAGGATGATGAGTAGCCTACGGATAATTTTAGTGAAGTTCAGGTGATCTGGGTTTGCCTTATTTGCTGAATGTTCCCCTATCTGAAATATTGTTACGGCCTTTTATTCTATTTTCTTCATCTGTGTTAAGCTGCTTTGGCACAATTGTAAAAGCCCTATAGAAAAAAAAGATTAACTGAATTAAATAGAAGAAAAATTTAAATAATTGCTAAATAACGGGAAAGTATGCAATTTACAGAAGAAAGTCAGTCAATTTAAAATTTAGTTAATATCTTGAATGGAGGTGGTTCATTCCGCTGTTGTTATTCTTCCCTGATGAATAAAGGACTAAGCCGAAGGAAAATGAATGAATCTTATGGATAAATACCATGTCAGATGTGTTATCAGTCATTTTCATTGATAACAGAATCATTAGTCACTGATACATTGTTATTTTTATAAAACACTTTATATTTGTATATTCTTTCCAGTTCTCCACTATTTTCATAGGGACTCGGCACAAAGGATTTGACACATAAAACCACAAACTTGCGATGTAACAGTTCTTGCGTTTGTGTTTTGATTTTTATTGAATCCTGACAAACGAAAAGTAAACTATTTACACTTTTCCGAGCTTCAATAAGGCTTCGAAGAACGGTCAAATACTGTCTACCATCAAGCCCCTTATTTCTTTCTTTCCTTTTCCCCCTTTTGCTTACACATACATGTGATGTATGGCATTAGTTAACATATAAAAAAGTAATACATATTAATATAAAAGTAATAACATAATAAAATATCACAAAATATACAAATCAAATGCTGTATTAAATAAGAATAACTATACACTTCATTACAAATAATACAATAATAAAGAAAAATATTAAATCTCTTTGTGCTCTTTATGGCTCTAATAATATTTATAATAGCTATGTAAATCCTACTGAAAAAAACAGCTTAAACCAGCCTAGGCTGGTTTTATAGGTATTTTGGCCACTTCTAGGCTGGTTTCCAGTCATTTCCAGGCTGGGAGATGACCAGCTAAAACCAGCTTGACAAGCCTAGACAGGCTGAAACCCCAACCAAAACCAACTATGTCCAGCCTAAACCAGGCTGGTCAAGCTGGTTTTAGCTGGTCATTTTCCAGCCTGACCAGCTAAGACCACCAACTGTCCAGACAACCAGCTTAGGCTAGTTTAATCTGTTTTTTTTTTTCAGCAGGGAAATGTGTACTTTATGAATAGGTGGTGGCATATTTTGAGTTTGGATATTACTGGTCTATATTTCTTGTGAAACCTGGCAACCTAGGCTTAACTGTAATTTGAGCTTGGCAAGTAGGAGAGAGTGCAGCTTCTGAGAGTAATCACTTACTTTTAATCCTTTTTCTCACGCAAACCTTTTTTTTATGGCTTTAGATTGTGTGTAAAGCAAATATTAAAGATTATGGGCTCTTTTATGGTACGTTTGTTTTCCATTTTTGGAGATGAAAACAACAGTAACAGCAGTGGGGTGGGGCGCTATTACTCTCATTACGCTGCTAACTAAAACAGGTAAATCATTTAATAGCTAGGCCTATCTGATATTAAGGCACAGTTATACCAGAGTGGCAATTGACACCCTGAGGAAATGCATTTCCAGCACTGGCAACCAAGTGTATTAAAATATAAATCAGTTTTCTCAACCAATTTACAGAGGCGCATCACTGACATAAAAATACCCCAGCAAACATAATTATCCCCTAAAGTTCCCATTTGGTTCCTGTTTGGTTGTTTGTATATATATATATATATATATATATATATATATATATATATATATATATGTGTGTGTGTGTGTGTGTGTGTGTGTGTGTGTATATATTTATATATATATATATATATATATATATATATATATATATATATATATATATATATATATATATATGTATATGTGTGTGTGTGTATGTATATTGGGAACCAAATATAAGAACATTGTGTGAACGTTCTCTGTAGATTATTTTTGGTAACCAAAATATAACCTTCCCAGATCGTACTCTGCAGGTTATTCGATGGTTAATTTTATTTACTACAGAAAACGTTTCCAGAACGTTCCCCTCAATGTTTATTTAGATTTTATTTTCATAACCTTGAGAGAACCTGTAGGTAATGTTTCCTGTAGGTTAATTTTAGGATTTATTTAATAACCAAGAGATCCTTCTCAGAAAGTTTCCTGTAGGTTATTCATTCATTCATTCAATCATTCAATCATTCATTCATTCATTTTCTTTTCGGGTTAGTCCCTTTATTAATCTGGGGTCACCACAGCGGAATGAAGTTGGAACCAGCGACCCTCTTGCGTTGCGGCAACAGCACTACCTTCTGCGCCACCGCGTCGCTCCCTGTAGGTTATTTGTGGGTTTTATTTTCGTATCATAGAGAACCTTCTCAGAACGTTCTATGTAGGTTATTTTCATGTTTTATTTTATATCCAATAGAGAATTTTCCCAGAATTTTCACACATTGTTTAATAACTAAAATAGAACCTTCCCAGGACGTTCCATATAGGTTATTTATATGTTTTATTTTCAAAACCTAGACAACCTTCCCAGATCCTTTAGGTTTTTTTTTTTCTCAAATGATAAAATTATAGTAACACACAAACACACGTTTGTTTTTATATTATGTTTTTATTTTGTTTCTGGACTTTAAATCTGTAATAGAATTTGATGATTTATTATTTTATTTTAAAATATTTAGTAATGCAATTTACATAATATAATAAGTATGTGTCATTGACGTCGACTGTATCACGTGAATAATTCAAACTAATGACGGGCAGCTGGAACTCTACACAGAAGACCTGTCACTCACACTCCAGCTTCTTAACGTGGTCGTCCAGCTGTGCTAATCAGGTAGGTTTATAAATTTTCATTTGTTTTCGGTCATTTTTGAGGACTTTGTCAAAATCCTTGTGAATTTGTTCATTAAACCTAAATTATTGTACCGAATGTAGAAGGAGATTATTCAGATTATACAGTACTTGCTATTTAAAAACAAATGGTTATAACGGTCAACTGGCTGCGTTATCCACTTAAGAGGCTATATAAGCTTCTAAAACCCCAAAAATCTATTAACTTAAATAATTTTACAGTCCAAATGGTGTTAGCTTGATTTATTGTTGAACTGCTCCTCATCGAATCCTTCGAGGTGGCCATATGAGCTGGTATATTGAAGAATGATAACGCAGGTACAATAACGTTATCTTTATCAATAAATGCACTGACATTTTACCAAGTTGGCTCAGATATTCAGAAATGTGCTTTTTACAAAGGCTAAACAGAGAATATTAGCATGTAATTAACGTCATCTGTTTTTGTAGGCAAGGTCTAGGCTTTTGTAACAAGCTGGGAGAAGAGACTCATTGGCCTTGTATGTACAGTTTTTACACACACACAGACCCATACACGTTGAATATGTGGTTTATAAGAAACAAGACAGAAATTAAACTTCATGAATTTTATTTGTAGTCCTTAATACAGCACACTTCCTAATAACCCCTCCTCCAGATCTCAAACCCTAGAAAGTGGCAAATGCTGCTATTTAATTGTAACCCCAGGCAGCTGAAGAAAAAGGCAAACTAATATCAGGAATTAAACTCAAACTAGAACCTCTGATTAACAATCAAACCTTTATTAATTTGATCACATAATGAACGATAAACTAATTTGAAAAAACAGATGCATCTGGGATTACAGCCTCCAGTGCACTTGAAGCTGGGTTCACACAACTTGTAATTGCAGAAGATAAGATACAAAGGCACTGGGGAAAATATACAGTACGCCAGTTTTACATCAAGATCAATCACAAAGGAAGTCTCGCATGTCCCATTTACAAGCATTATTCAATGATATTGCAGAGCACCTGAACATAGTTAGTAACTGTAGTTAGTAAAACTAGAATAGTAAAGTTCATAGACAAACGCTATGGTGTCTTGAGAAAGTCTAGTCTGAAAGTTTGAAGTCATTTCAAAGCTTAAATGACTGAAGTAGTTTAAGAAGTTTGAAGCAGCTGGCAGAGAGAGATCCCTACATATATATTAGCCGCTTTCTAGTATGGATTGGCATGTTTCTTGATAGGGGGTTCTGAGTGGTTGCTAAGGTGTTGCTAGGTAGTTATTAGGGTCTTCTGAGTGATTGCTAGGCAGTTGCTTAGGCATTGCTAGGTTGTTGTTATGGCATTGCTAGGTGGTTGCTATGGTATACTTATTGGTTGCTAAGGCATTGCTAGGTGGTTGCTAAGGTGACGAGGTCATTGTTAGAGTGTTCTGAGTGGTTGCTAGGCAGTTGCTAAGGCATTGCTTGGTGGTTATTAGGGTCTTCTAAGTGGATGCTAGGCAATTGCTTAGGCATTGCTAAGTCATTGTTACCATGTTGCTAGGCGGTTGCTAGAGTGTTCTGGGTGGTTGCTAAAGCACTGCTGGGTGGTTGTTAGGTGGTTATTAGGGTCTTCTAAGTGGATGCTAGGCAGTTGCTTAGGCATTGCTAGGTCGTTGTTACCACGTTGCTAGGCGGTTGCTAAAGTGTTCTAGGTTGTTGCTGGGGTGTTTCAAGTGGTTTCTAGGTGGTTGCTAAGGTGTTGCTAGGTGGTTGCTCAGGTGTTGCTAGGTGGTTGTTAGGGTATTCTGAGTTGTTGTGTGTGTTACTACGCAGTTGCTAATATAAATTATTCTATATAAATATAAATTAAATATATAAATATATAAGTTGTAGTATGAATTAACATGTTGTTAGCATGAATTTGATCAGAATTAGCATGTTGCTAGTATGAGTAGTATGTTAGTATGTTTCTAGTATGGATTGGTTTGTTATTATGTCCAATGTAAAGTCAATGGCAGTTTTTTATAATGAAGGTCGCTAGGGTGCCGTAAGTGGTTGCTAGGGTGTGACTAGTAAGATGAAAAGTGATCAGTGATTGGCAGATTGGTAGTGTGAGTTAAATGAGTGTAACCTTATGTCTGTTTGACAGTCTAGTGCAAAGTTATGAGGTCACAAAGTTTGGTCCAATGTTCAGTCAATGGGACTTTTCTGAGTTTTCCAGGTCAGTTTTTGGAAAACCGTAAGTCGATTCAGTTGGAAAAGATATAGCAACTTAATTCAGTATAGTTTGAAGGTTTGGAGGTAGTTTGGTGGTTGTAGTATGAACGTTCTAGTAGAAAATGCGTTAATAAATTAGTCGAAGAAGAAGAAGAATAACAAGTTTATGTAGTATAACAGTGTGTTGGATTTCTCAAGCCACTATAATAATCAAATGATACATTTTTGAATTTAGATTTTTTTTTTTTAAGTTGGATGCTAATGGTATAATCAGATTTAATGATGCATGCTAAGCTAAATTTCTCCCTCCAGACACAGAGATTGGCTGAATGGATTCGAAAATGGTAAAACTAAACTGTTTAGGTCTAGGGGAGCTGTAAAACAAGCCTATTTTAAAAAGTGGAGTGTTCCTTTAAAAGTGCATATTAGAAGCTAAAGTTTACCTATTAGTACCTAAAATACAAAAGTGTTAAGTACCATCATGGACCCTTTAGGCACAAATATGTAACTTCTGGAAAAGTGTATTCATATTAACTCTAGCAATATCTGTAAATCACTCTTTCTTGCTTTTCCTCTTTGATCTAAAGCAGCAGCGCATGATGAAGAATTTGGCCATTTTAAAGCAGATGTAGAGGACTAGAGTCAGGACAGTGGTAAGAAAAGCGAACACATCCAGACAGTGGTACTGATACCAGGTCAGGTTGTGGGCCTCCACACGCAGGTGTTTTGCACCTTTATTGCGCATGACGAACTCAATCCAGAACACAGACTCATCTAAAGGCTTCATTGGTCTGTCGTGATGAATCCTGGACAAACGCATTGCATTCTCTTTATACCTGCGGAGAAACAGAGCATCTTAGTCCAGAGATCTGCAGTGTTATGCACTGATAACAGAGTAAATCAGATCATATGAGTGACTTACGAAGGGTCATTAATGACTGTATTGAGTTTGTCCACCAGTTCTTGTGGCTGCATGCTCTTAATGCTGTCTACTACAACAGCAGCAGCTCTGGTGGTCATATGAACCATATTATCAGGCTGGTCACCAAACAAGGGGATGCCGACCATCGGGACACCATGATATATGGCCTCATATACGCCATTGGTGCCCCCGTGAGTGATGAACGCTCTGGTTTTGGGGTGGCCTGATTGAGAAAAACAGATTAATTTGTCCTTAAAGTAAATTACAAAGTAGATCAACAAACAGTGGTGAAATGACCAAAAAATCATACTCAAGTAAAAGTACAGAGAGTGTGTTGAGGTTAGTCTGTCTGTGATGCATGATTGGATTCTACTTGGTCTACTTGGCCTAAGCACAAATGATAATACAAACCCAGTAAATCATTCTGAGGGATCCACTTATAGATTCTAGTGTTTTCACCAAGAGTATCTGGTTTCTCTCCACCGTATCGCCACAAGACCTGTAACACAGTTACACAAACACTCTCAACTGATCATAGCAATGACTAAGAGATTACAGACAAACACATGTGAATATTTAACATGACTTTTCATTTCAGTCCATTTATTTAGAAGCAGTGTTTGATCCTTAATGATACTTGCAAGTAAAGACTGCGCTGTAGGGATAATCTCTTACCTTCTGAGGTATTTGTGCCAGTGCTGAGGCGATTCTATTGCTCATCTCTTTGGGCACTTTGTCTATCATAGACCCCAGTGTAAAGACCACGATCCCATCATCCCCTGAGCTCTGCACAAACTCTTCCATGTCCTGCACAACAACAAAAACACTTAAACTAAAGGTGTTTAAAGTAATTCCACATGTTTTATGAACAGTTTGTAATATGCTGGGACATGTACATCCCCAAATCAGAAAAATTGGGACAAATAAAAAAGAAAGTCGTGATTTGTAAATTTACTTTGACTTATTTAATTGTAGACAATACAACAAAAAATGTGTTCCTCAAGATTTTTAAAGGATTTTTCAAAATAAGCACCTATTCCAATTCTTGCAACACATTTAAAAAAAAGTTGTATCAGTAGAGCATTTACCACTTCATAATGTTGCTATTCCTTTTCACAACACTTAAAAGGCGTTTAGGGACTGAAGACACTAAGTGATGAAGTGTTTCAGGTGTCATTTTGTCCCATTCATTCTGCAAACAAGTCTTAAGGTGGCTAACCGTATGGGGTCTTCGTTGTTGCATTTTGCGCTTCAAAATGAGCCACACATTCTCTATTGGAGACAGGTCAGGACTGCAGGCAGGCCAGTCAAGTACCTGTATCTCTTCCTCTGCAGCCAGGACTTTGTAATGTGTACAGAATGTGGTTTTTCGTTGTCTTGTTGAAATATGCATGGGTGTCTCTGGAAAAGAAGGCAGCATGTTGTGCTCCAAAATCTCTATGTGCTTTTCAGCATTAGTGGTGCCATCACAGAAGTGCAAGTTACCTTTGCCAAGGGCACTGACACAAGCCCATACCCTGACTGACCTTGGCTTTTGGACTTGTTGCTGGTAACAGTCTGGATGATCCTTTTCTTCTTTGGCCCAGAGCACACAGCATCCATTTCTTCCAAAAAAAAAAAAACCCTAAAATAATAATTCATCTGGCTACACGTTTCCACTTTGTGATGGTTCATCCCAGATGCGTCCGAGCCCAGAGAAGTCGACAGCACTTCTGGACACTGTTAACCTAGGGATTCCTTTCAATACAGAACAGTTTTAACTGACATTTGTGGATGTAACTACGTATTGTGGTACTTGACAAAGGTTTGCCAAAGTAGTCCTAAGCCCATGTGGTGATATTGCTTATAGATAATGACGATTCTTGGTGCAGTGCCACCTGAGAGATAGGAGATTGCGGTAGTTTAGCTTTGGCATGCGCCATTGTCCTTTACTTATTGAAATTCCTCCAGAGTCCTTGAATCTCTTAATTATGTTATGCACTGTTGAAGGTGAAATATCCAAATGTTTTCCTATCTTTCTTTAAGGAACATTGTTTTTAACATTTCAATAATTTTCTCACATATTAACCTTGGCCTATCTTTGCTTCTAAAGGAGTAGACCTTTTTTGGATGCTGCTTTTACACTTTACCAAATCATAACTATAATATGATATCAGAGGTCGCGTTTACCGAATATTTTCCGTCATTGACGGATTTTTTTCAGCAGTGACGGAAAAATCTGAAGGTGACTCACTCCTGTCCAGCTGATGGCGATTGTGCTTGTTTTGTCTGCTTTTGTAACTGCTGCGTACTTCCAAAAACAGACAAACCTGATAACACTCCCGTTTTTCCCGGGAGTCTCCCGTATTTCAGACCCATTTCTCACATTGTTCTATCTCCCTGAAAACTATCCCCCCCCCCCCCCCCCACTCTTCAGCTTTTTGGTACAGTCCCCATGCGCACCGAACACAACATGCAACCGTCTCCATACCTGCTTTGCGCCTTTCAGTTCATGCGCACCACACCTACCCCTCCCACTCTTCACTAGCTTAAGTGGCTCTAGTTATTCTGGTCTCCAGTGTTGCAGCAGAACACTTCAGCCTCCAAAACAAAATTAAAACTATCAGAACTGAATAAAAACTATCGACTTTCCAAGGCAAAGATGCAGAATTTAATGACAATTGCCTCTGCATCAGTTTCTCTTGATGCGTTTGATTACGCACAGGCAAGCACCCAGTTCAGGTCGACATAGAAGGAAGATATGAGTTTTAGTTCGTTTGTCAAATAAATAAATAAATAAATAAATAAATTAGCCTATATGCCCATTGTGCAAGTTCATTATTAAAATATAAATGAAAAACGCGATCAGAAAATATGCAAATTAAATGACAGTCAATAACAGGTTATGACGGAATTTTTACAACCCTCTCCGTCAAAATGGACAGTGAGAAAGTCTAACGCGGCCTCTGATATATATATATATATATATATATATATATATATATATATATATATATATATCAGAAACCGCGTTAGACTTTCTCACTGTCCATTTTGGCGGACATTTTGATTATATATATATATATATATTCCATTTTGTCCATTTTGATATATATATATGTCAAATCACATCATTATTTAACCAATTTACCTGATTACTCGCTCTAAAATGCTCCTGTACCTTTTTTGAAATGTGTTGCAAAACCAAAATTGGAATACAGGTTTATTTTGAAATAATATATAAAATCATGAGGAACACATTAAACAATGTTTGTTGTATAAGTCAAAGTAAATTTAGAAATCACTACTTTATTTTTTATATGATTTTCACACTGTTCAAACCTTTTCTGAATTAGGTTTGTAGAATATACTGCCGTTTGAATGCTGCTGGTAAAATAAAGATGGATGAAATGAAATGAAATATTAAAGTAATAATACTATTGGTCAGAAATAGATTTTTTTTAAAGTTTTATGTTTAAAATTTTACCCAAACAGCAAAGTACGATTCAAGAACAAATGACCCTCATGAGGTGTTGTTGTTTTTCAATAAAATTGGTTAAGAAATACTGAGTTTAATGAACATGATTCATTCAGACCATCACAATAACATTGTGACTCCCTCACTGAACATTACTTTCAGTCAAATAATGAACTCTTCTTGAACTTGTAGGCTTGCTTTGTACCAACAAATTAATCTTTGAATGAATGTTAAAAACACAGACACACCTTGGGTAAAGGCTTGGCAGGGGTGCAGTGAAGCCCTCCGATATATTTGAAGTTGGGCACGAATGGCCGTGGAAACTCAAAATCCCAGTAGGTTCTGATTAACCAGATATCAGCTTTACCCATCATCTCACAATAGGAAGTGGACCGTCCTGAAACAAAGTGTGTTTGATAGTAAGTAAAAAAACTACTTGCCTTAAGATATTTTTGCAAATTCCCTTCTACAGATTTATTAAAACTGTCATTTTTTTATTAATAATATGCATTGGTAAGGTCTGTTTTTCTCATTTATGCTGCTTTCAGATGATGTATGAATATCAATTAAATGGTTTTGTTGATTAGGGACACATTATGAGTAATTTGCTTGTACTAAAGTATTATACAATTACTAATTGTGTTTGATTAGCTAAAGGAACATACCAAAAAAACCTTCATCTGGTGACTTGAAATATATCTTACATTCTGTAATAACTATTTTTTGAGCAGGCCAGTTAATTATTATTTGGAAGCTTCATGTTACTCACCAAAATATTCTGTGTAATAGTTGTCAAATCTTCTCCATATTAGTCTGGACAAAGTGTCTTGAGAAAGGTAGAAGAGCATATTGAAGATTCGCTCAGTAAAGCTCATCTTGTCTGTGAGTTTACTCATGGCTCCAGGAACATATGATGGTGGAGCTGGTATCTGACCACACATGCGCTCTGCTGCATGAGCAACGGAGAATCTGAACGTGTAAACCAAGGGAACATTCAACTCTTCAGCCACAATATCACTACATGGGTACATTGGATCTGACAGGACAACGTCAAACTTTCCTTTCTTCAATTTGTCCATCAACTCTGGAGATTTCAGAATGCCGTCACAGTAGGATAAACTCATATCCTGATGTTGGGAACCAAGGTTGAAGAATTTCATTTGAATCTCCAGAAAACTTGAATTGTCCATCTCAAATACTGAGAAACGCATAAGTTCATCAAAGAAATCTTGCATGTCCTGTGCAGATTTGGATACACTAAAGTGCTGGTAGGAGAAGCGATCCGATTCTTTGGCTTTCATGAAGAGCGCGCCATCAGGAACCAGCACTGTAACATTATGTCCCCTGTCTAATAAAGTGTCCAACACAATCTTCAGATTAATCCAGTGGCTGCCCTCAGTATACCAGACTAATATATTCCCACATTGTCCAGCGCTGAACACAGTGAGCAGAGAAAG